AAAGTTACAAAGGGAGATTCAAGAATTCAGAGAATGAGGAACAAGTTCTGGTAAAGATAAAAGAAATGAATCAGAGTTGGACAATCCGCATTTGTGAGTAAAGAGAAATGGAAGGTGGCCCTGGGGTGTCCCTGGGGCGCCCCACAGGCGCCTCATTCTGGTTGACACCATCAGACTCTGTGGTCATGGCTCCCCCAGAAATTGCACATCCCACCCTACCCTGCCCACTAAACTTCCCCTTGTGGCCACACTGGGCCCCATTTGCTCTCTCTGCTTCTTTCCCCCAAGAGAGGAGGCTCATTCTTGCCTGGGTGCTGAGGGAGGGGTCTTTAATACTCACTGAACCCTGACATTATGAGAGAGCGCCGAAGGGGCCCCTTGAGCCTCCCAGGACATAAAAATAAATGAGCTGTGTTGACAGCATGGTGAGTTTAGTAAGTACATACAGGACCATTGAGATCGGGAAAGTGCATGTAAGAGGTGAAGGTTATGGGGATCCAACAAGAGATAGGGGATGCAAGTGGCAGAGAATGGGTCAAGCGGGACAAGACCAGGAAAACAGGTCAAACTGAGTTTGGTTTTTTACCTTTTACTACAACAAGCCCCCTTCCTTCGTGGTACACTCTAGGGATTGGGATAAGTGTCAGATGTCAGTGAGGTTCACACGTGAGCAAAGCCCAGAGAGGAAGATCTTCCTAAAATCTAATCTGCCCGCCAGCCAGTGGAGCATATCAGGCAGAGTGTAGAGTGGAAGGTCCAGCCTGAAGTGGACAAGAGGGGCTGGCAGCCATTCTCTCAGGTCACCAGCCACCTGGGGCCCCAGGCATTTGATGCCAACACTCAGTACAGGCCAAGGGAAGTGATAAAGAATGCCCATATCAAGAAACTTGCATTGTATAGAAATTAACAGCTCAGGCCATCTGGCTTCCTTTTCTGGCTCTGTCCCGACCAAGAGTGGCTGCCACTTAGTGAGAACCTAGAACATGCCAGACACTTAAGAACAATATTTCATGTAACCCCAACAACTTTGGAGGAGTAGGATCATTCTCAACCTACTGATAAATTGTCGGCATACCTAGCTGCAAAACAGAAAACCAAGGCACTGAAGGTTAAGTTTTGCCTAAAGACACATGACCAGCAAAGTGTCAGATCTGGGACCAGGTGGGTCCATCCATTGCAGTGACTGCTGTTGCCCCTCACCGGATGGCACCATGTGGCCTCAAACACATCATGAGGCCTCTGTGGACCTCAGGGCCCGTGCCTGCAAATTTGAAGGACTGCATTAAACATTAAATGGTTCTTTGGGCCCTTCTGCTCTGAAACATGGGGATATAATTGCAGAAAAAAAGCAGTGTGGACAAGTGGGTCTGAGGCTGGGGAAAGGAGATGGGCTGGGGGCTACCCTTCTGCCTTTTTCAAGCTGTCATGTTACAGAAGGCTGTGGTGGCTGGGAAAGAGAGACAGGGGATGTTATGCAGACAGAGGAAGGGGGGACACTGGGAGTGGCACCAGTATGAGGAGAGACCCTGGACAGTCCAAGGTGGCCCATGTCTGCAGGGGTTCCAGGGTCATGATCTTAAGTGAGGAGAGGCAGGGAGGGACACAGGGCATTCACCCCAGCTCACTCCTACGAGAGGGACAGAGCCAGCCCAGCCTAAACACAGGCTATTTTTGGTGTTGTATTGTTTGGAGAGCAACCAGGCCAGAAATAGTGCTGTGAGTTAGTAGGACCCTGTTCTGCTCCCACCCCCAGCTCTCCCAGTGAAATCACCAAGAATCAAGAAACTGGCTCCAACATTCCAGGGAGCCTGTGTAACTGATAGGGGGAAGGGCTCTCCAGCAGCAGGAAGACTTGGAGCAGAGCATTTGACTGTAAAAGGGCTTCTTCAAGAGGGGAAGCCAGGGAAGGAGGACTGAGTCACAAAGAGCGGAAGAGAGAGAGAGGGAAAGTGGGAGAGACCTCCCCTGGCTGGCCAAGGCTAGGGGAGTAGACCAGTTGACCATGGGTTGAACAGAGAAGTCAAGAAAAGGGAGTCTCAGAGAGAGAAAGGGAAAGTGAAAAAGACAGCAGGTAGTGGTGTTGGGAGAGCAAAGGAAAAGAGAAAGCAAAGAGGAAGAGAGGGGAGCAGGCAAGAGGGCAGCTGGAGGGCAGGAGGTGAAGGGTTGAAGGGAAGATAGGCCGGTAAGAACTAGGGCTGCAGGGTGGGGGGGAGGGGGGACAGTCACGGAAAGTGTGAGTCTGATCTAGTCACGAACCACCTGCTGGCAGACAGATGGAAACATCTTTCCCAGTTGGCTGGAACGGAAACTTCCCCAGAACTCCACAGTCTTGTAACTACTCATCCTCTTATCTCTGACCCTTTGGGAATCAGAGATCCACAATTTCAAAAGCAGGGACTTTTCTCTTTCTGTTGTTTGACCCCTTACAAAAGAGACACGGCTTGAGCAAGGTGATTGGGTCAAGGCTTTGTTTGGGGTTCGGGGAAAGGAGGGAAAGTGATGTAGCCCCTTGAGTCAGGCTGGATTCTGAGAAGGGCGTCTCAAGGAAGTCTACCAGGGGGCTGTGGGGTGATCTGGCTGTGCCGTGATGTGTGGAAGGTCTCCAGAGGGCAGACACAGTGGAAGCAAGGCCTTAACACACAGAGCAGCAACAGGCACTATGGTCACAGCCATGTTTGGGCTTAGATCATCAAGCAGCCCTAGCTCATCAGAAAGTCAAATGAAGAGTCAGAAACCCCAGTATGGGACCCAGTTACACTGGGCCTTGCCTCAGTTTCTTTTTTTTTTTTTTTTTATTTCTAGGAGAGAGAAAGACAGCGTGAGCAGGGGAGGGTCAGAGAGAGAGGGAGTCACAGACTGAAACAGGCTCCAGGCTCTGAGCCGGCAGTCAGCACACAGCCCGACGTGGGGCCCGAACCCACGAACCGCGAGATCATGACCCAAGCGAAAGTCGGACGCTCAACCGACTAAGCCACCCAGGCGCCCCACCTCAGTTTCTAATCTACACCCACCAGATACCTACACGTTCCCTCCAGTTTGGGTAAAAAACACTGATTAGATCAATCTTTTTTGTTTCCAACATAAATCATGCCCCCTTTCTCCCCAACAGGACATAGAGCTGCTCTCTTCCATGTCTGGGAACAGAGTATCTTTTCTGGAATGGCATCAGGATCATCCACCAGGTTGTCTACAACAGCTCCTGATTGGCCAGTGAAAGAAGGGAAGGAGGGTCAGCTGAAGAGGCTGGAGAGGATGGCAGTGGGGCGCCTCAAGGGAGCCCCTTTCAGCCATGTCTGGACCCACTGCCCTACTAACTTGGAGCTTGGTGCTCCTAACCTGGATGCTCAGGTCCCTGTCCCCCTTGAGGGCGACAGGTGGAGGGTAGGGCACTGGAGGCATTTCCAGGGAGTAGGAGATGGGTTGGGGGCTGCACTTCTGTCTTCTCCACTTGAAAGAGATCAGAGGTAACCGCCTTCTCATGCTTAACCATTCTCTCAGGGACTCCAAATGAGACCAAGTAAGGAAAAGCACATAAACAAGAAGTGGTTACATGGGAACAGTCCCATACTTGAAAAGAGTGGGTGATCCTAACTTTCCAACTGAGGTTTCCCCTTCTTTCCCTGCCACCCTCTCCCCACCTGACTCCCAGGGGCAACGGAGAAAACAAAGGCGGAGGCAGAGTAAAAAGTGGGAAAGCTGTCCAGCTGTGGTTGCCCTCGGCATCTGCTTACTGAAAAAATCCAAAACAAATATCTCGACACTTCCACCCACTTAAACTTCCTGTGATTCTGCTATCGGCTGTCTCCATGGATACTCCCAATTGAACCCTACCACCTACACAAAACAAGACAGTGTGTGGAGCCCAGGGTCAAGTGCATCATCTCCCCACCCGCCACCCCTCTGTTCACAACATCCTGGACACGTGACCTGACCCCGCCAAGCCCCCAGATGCATGAGTCCAGTCCCACACACCAACCTCTGGCCGATTCCCACCCTCTGTAGAATTGTTTGGTTACTCCTCCACCTCCATGCCCGGTGTCCTGGAAGCACACCCCACAAACCCGCCACGAATCAACTCTCTCACTGGCTGCGCTGGCCCCCAAGTGTCTGTCTTGAGGAAAGGATGAGGTGTAATTCTCCCCAGGCACAGCAGGCAGCTGAAAGAAATGAAACTTACACATTGGGCTCCTAATTCCTTGCTAAGTCTTTATGCCGTTAACCCCTGGTTCCCTTCAACCTCCATCACCATCACTCCACCCAGCATACTCAAACCCCCTCCAGACATGGCTGTTGGCACAAAAGAGAGCCCCAGGGGCACCTCAAGAGTCTGGACACGTGGGAGAGACACTTGTGTCTCATCGACCAGCGGGCAGGCGCGCACCTGGCAGGGAATAGGGAAAAGCGGAAGGGAGTCCTCTGTGTGCTCATGTCCTAGACAGTCAAAACCCAGACAATCACACGGCACGCTCCGTGCCCTCTGGCCACTGGGATGAGGCCAAGAGGAGGGAGGGGTGTTCTCCCTAGGCTGGCCAGCATATACAGGCTGGCCAGCACTGGTGGACAAAAGTTCAGCTTCTTTGGTAACTATGTGGCTACCTGTTTCTCCAAAAGGAGGAAATGTAAACAGTTTTTCCCCAGCTGAGCACTGGGGAAGGTAATCCCAAACTCTGGGAATTTTGGGCCGCCTGGCACTGCCAGGGGTCAAGCTGGTAGATCCTCCAAAACGAGGGAGGACACAGGCAGAGGGCAGCAAGTCCTGGGAGGCCCCTGGGCCAAGGCAGCTGGGGTTTGCTCAATTGTTCCTGACCCCTCTGATACACGTACACACATGGACCAGCATGCGCACACGCCTCTGCAAGTTGGGCAGAGGGCGGTGCAGAGGGGGCCTGGCCAGCTGTTCAGAGGGAGGTGCAGAGTCAGAAGGTGGGTGGGGCTGAACCATGAGTTCATCTATTTCCTGCCTACATCTGTATAAAGGGAGGCGGCAGCCTCTGGACGAACACAGCTGCGTCTGGCAACCAGGCCAAGAGCACTGTCAAGAGAGCCACACCCCCTCTCCGGCAGCAGAATCCCCACAAATCAGCAACAGCAGGACAGACCACAAGGCATCTTTGAGAACTTCAGGTAAGAGGGGAAAAAACTCCATCTCTTCCTAGAGTTAAGGCGAAGAACACTCCTCCTCCAAAATGGTCTCTTTCCATGATCCCTACTTTTCCTCTTTTTCCCCTCTGGAGACCTGTAGACCTGAGTTGACGGAAGGTGGCCAGGCCCCACCATCAACCCCACCACACAGAAACAAGAGCTTCAACTCTCTGTCCCTTTCCATCAGGATGCACAGCCTACTCTGGAAAGAGGCTTTTCGTGCCCACTCACTTGAAAAAATGCGAGGTTGAGAAAGCATTAGAAGAGAATTAAGAGCATTATGCAAATCAAAGGTGTTATTACAGTTTAGCCTTTTGGGCTCCTGGAAGGGAAGGGACATACACTGTAGGGTGCCGCCAGGGGTTCTCCAAAGTCCCACTGGTAGAAATGCACTTAAGACTCCCTGGGGCTGATCATGGTCTCGTGGTTCATGAGTTCGAGCCCCACATCAGGCTCTGTGCTGACAGCTCGGAGACTGGAGCCTGCTTCAGATCTGGTGTCTCCTTCTCTCTTTCTCTGCCCCTCCCTGGCTTAGGCTTCGTGTCTCTGTCTCTTAAAAATAAATAAACTTAAAAAAATTAAAAAGTAGGGCCACCTGAGTGGCTCGGTCGGTTAAGTGTCTGACTTCAGCTCAGGACATGATCTTATGGTTCATGGGTTCGAGCCCTGCATGGTTCTGTGCTGGCAGCTCAGAGCCTGGGGCCTGTTTCAGATTCTGTGTCTCTGTCTCCCTCTCTCTCTGCCCCTCCCCCACTCATGCTCTGTTTCTCTCTGTCTCAAAAATAAATAACTACTATAAAATTTTTTTAAATTAAAAAATAAAATTTTTTATTTTATTTATTTTATTTATTCCCTGTGGCTGAAACAGAAGGGAAAGGTTCAGAATCGGAGCCCATCAGGGCTTCTTATGAACTCCTGTCTTTGTGTTTACTATCACATGCCAATGGTGACCCTGGAGAGCCTGGCCTGTGGCTGCGGGGGCCGCCTTCCAGAACTCTCCTCTCACCAGGTCCTTTTCCACTTGCTCTAGGATGCAGATGTCTCCGGTCTTTGCTTGCATAGCCCTGGGCCTGGCCCTCATCTTTGGTAAAGTGTCTGCCTCCTACCACCGCCAGACTCGGGTGGCCCAACTGACCACAGACTTTGGAGTGAAGGTCTTTCAGCAGGTGGCACAGGCCTCCAAGGACCGCAACATGGTTTTCTCACCCTACGGGGTGGCCTCAGTCCTGGCCATGTTGCAACTGACGACAGGAGGAGAGACCCGGCAGCAGATTCAAGCAGCCATGCAGTTCCAGATTGATGGTGAGAGACAGGGCAGAGCGGGGGACGGGCGCTCATGCTGTCTTCATGGGATAGGGGTGTAAGCAACTGGAAGCAGAGGGCGGGCTGCCACCAACTGAGCAGAGCCAGCTCCTGTTGCAGCCATGTCATGGGCATCTTCACTGGGCTCTGGGTCAGTTGCAAGGGGCACAGACTGGAGGGGGGGGATGTGGTGTAACACAGGTGTGCCTCACCATTTATTATCTTAATGCCTCTGGACCTCAGCCTCCACATTTGCAAAATGGGGACAATAGAAGTATCTACCACATAGAGTTGCTGTAAGGATTAAATAGGATTATACATGTGAAATGCTTAGCATAGCTAGTTTTATGATATGGAAAAACCTAGGGTTGGTAACTTAAAAGCAGACAAAAGTATTCTAATCCAAAAATGGGTTAGGACCTGAGATTTTTGAGAAAAATAGGGAGATGCCAAAGAGATTAAGGTTTGGAAGTGATCTCCCTCCAGAGACCCCTGGGGAAACAGAAGAGCCCCATCCACATGCGCGAGGTTGGGCCTCTCCTGGGGCAAGTTGGCCCAGCTTCAAATAAGCTAATGTGTCCTCTTGGCCCTGCCTCGGCACAGAGAAAGGCATGGCCCCTGCCCTCCGCCAACTATACAAGGAGCTCATGGGACCGTGGAACAAGGATGAGATCAGCACTGCCGATGCCATCTTTGTCCAGCGGGATCTGAAGCTGGTTGACGGCTTCATGCCTCACTTCTTCAGTCTCTTCCGAACCACAGTCAAGCAAGTGGACTTTTCAGAAGTGGATAGAGCCAGGTTCATCATCAACGACTGGGTGAAGAGACACACGAAAGGTGAGTAGGCAGGAAGAGGAGGCCAAGGGCCTGCAGAGGAAGGGGATCTGGAAAGAAATCCCCGGAATCCCAACCTCTCTCCATCAGCAAGCTGTTCTCTGTAGACGAGGAGGGTGCTGTAAGGATCAGAGCATCTTATGTTTTTACCAGAGGCCCTCTCATGAACCAACTCTAAGGGCCTCCCTAAGAAGTGCTGTGAGATGTCTTGTTAACAGTAACAATCACTACAGGAAACATACACAGCTCTTCCAGACTACTGCTTAGGGAGCAAAGTAAGGAAAGACTTGAGTGTCTGGGTCTGATCCTGGACAGGATCCCAGAGTGTGTGATGAGCGGGAAGCTTTCCTGAAACTCTTAGGAAGATGGAACAGCTTGAACACAGCTAGACTGGGTCGCTTACACCCCTCCCCCATCTGCCTCCTGGTTGGATCCCCTCAAAGGACTGAAGGGAACCATCTAAAAGGCTTAAAGTATATTTAGCCTCCTGCTCATTGGCTTTCCTGTAGGCATGATTGGAGACTTACTGGGTGAAGGGGCCGTGGACCAGCTGACGCGCCTGATGCTGGTGAATGCCCTCTACTTCAATGGCCAGTGGAAGACGCCCTTCCCAGAGTCGGGCACCCACCACCGCCTCTTCCACAAATCTGACGGCAGCACCGTCTCTGTGCCCATGATGGCTCAGACCAATAAGTTCAACTACAGTAAGTACAAGACCTCCTTCCCCAAATCCCACAACTACTGCACTTCATCCCCAGGGTGTTCTCTCAGGAAGGAGAACCCCTCAAATATAAGCCCATCTTTGACAAAGACTCCCCAAGTAAGAGCTACTCAGATAACTGGAGCAGCAGAAAGTAGCTTTAAATCACACAAGATGAAAGTGCAGGGTATCTGGGTGGCTCAGTTGGTTAAATGTCTGACTTTGGCTCAGGTTATGATCTTGCAGTTCACAAGTTCGAGTCCCGCATCGGGCTCTCTGCTGTCAGCTCAGAGCCTGGAGCCTATTTCAGACTCTGTGTCTCCCTCTCTCTCTCTCTGCCCCTCCCCTGCTCACACTCTGTCTCTCTGTCTCTCAAAAATAAATAAAGACATTAAAAAAAAAAAAAGTCCAGAAAGTCCCTCCAGCCCAAATATGACCACATGATCCATGTGTTTTTAATGTGATTACCAGGGGCTCACAGATCCTGCTGGGGGAAGGCCTATATGGAAGTTGAGATTAGGAGATGAGAATTTGGATAAACTAGTGGCTGGGTGTGGGGGAGAGGAGGGTGAAGGCAAAGAAGGCCAAAAAGAGACAGAGTAACCAGAAGACACTGAATTGGCCAAAGAGGAGGGAAATGGGGATAAAAAACACTGACGAGGGAGCCTCAAAATCCAGGGTAGAGAGGTGGCTTCCAGAAAGGAGGAGACAGAACTAGTTGAAGAGCCAGTGCTGGGTCAGAACCAATGAGAGCTGAAGCCATTTTCAGTGCGTCATCTTGGTGTCTTCACAGCTGAGTTTTCAACCCCTGACGGCCATTACTATGACATCCTGGAATTGCCCTACCACGGGGACACTCTCAGCATGTTCATTGCTGCTCCCTATGAAAAAGAGGTGCCTCTCTCTGCCCTCACCAACATCCTGGATGCCCAGCTCATCAGCCAGTGGAAAGGGAATATGACCAGACAGCTCCGCCTCCTGGTTCTGCCCAAGTAAGCCACCCCTTGCTCACACCTCACTCACCAGTGCCCTACTCCCTTCTATCTACCCCTACCCTCTCCCAGGGCTCCCTGAAAGGACTACCCCCATGTTTCCCAAGCATGACATCTGCAGGGCAGGGACATGTGTGGGAAGCTTATGGGAAACACTCTGGCCTGGGTTTGATTAAGATTCCTCTCCTCATCTCTGCTCCTGTTTCTGCTGGAGGGCAGCGAGGAATTTTCCTAGACCAAGCCCCCACACCTACCACCCTCAGAATATCCTCAGCTGAAGGAAGAGGCACAGAAATGATGAGGGAGGTGGGAGGGATGGATCAGCCTTCTGAATGACCCTCTCCCACCCCCATCTGCTCAAGTCAACATCCAAACAAGGAGACAAAAGGAGATAAAGCAGCCAGAACTACAGCTTCTAGCTGGCTTCCAACAAAGCGGATTTTAAAAATCCTTCTGCAGAAGTACAGAGGGTGGAGAAGGCCGAGGCTGGGTAATTCCAGAATTGTAAGGAAGCCTCCCACCGCACTTACCCCAAATTTCCAGATGCTATAATGCCATGCTTGGGGAAAGAGGAAGATTTAGTCATTTAGGGTGCTCTTATGTTCTCTACCCCCACCTACCCCCATCTCTAGAAAATGAAAACCGAGGTGACCCATGCCCTGATGGGAAGGAGAGGGTGCCCAAAGCCTCTCTGCTTGGGTTCTTTTCAGAATTAGCTCCCAGAAACATAATCTACAGACCAGGTTTTCGTTCAGATATCTTGCAGGAGAATGTGCCCTCTGCTCCCCCTCCTCAAGATTCCAGGGGGCGGGGAGGTGTACATTTACATTAGACCTGACACACAGATTTGAAAAAAACAAGCCTCCCCCTCCAACTTTCACACCTGTCCCCATCCCATTGGCTGAGGGGGATACGTGGACAGGGCCTGGCAGAGACAGCAAGAGGCAGCCTGAGCTTAAGCTGTTTCCCACTCCTGTTTACAGGTTCTCCCTGGAAAGTGAAGTCAACCTTCGGAGGCCCCTGGAGAACTTGGGGATGACCAACATGTTTAAGCCAAACCAGGCGGACTTCTCGAGTCTCTCGGGTAAGAGATTTTCCTTCCACTTTCTTATGCTGGTGGACTGTGGGGCCCCTGAGGGGACACAGGAGTGTGTCTCTAAGAACCTCAGCTGATCTGCACCCGAATCCACTTGTTTCAGATCAAGAGGCACTGTACGTGTCGCAGGCGCTGCAAAAAGTCAAGATCGAAGTAAATGAGAGCGGCACAGTGGCGTCCTCCTCTACAGGTGAGTTCAGGCTCAGGTGGGCCTGGTGAGTCTCTTCCCAGGACTTGCAAGGAGGGGCCCACATCTGGGATGACCCTGTGGCCCTGTTCCGGTAGCCTCTCCTGGCAGAGGGGCACCCTCCACACCAGGTGCTCAGGACATCACCCTTATCCCACCAGAGTTTCTCAGCCTGCTGTAGGCCCACTTTTCCTGGGACCGCAGTCCCCCACTCAAAGGCTTCTGAGGTCCCTTAAAAGTGAAAAGGCCCCTCAAAGGAGCCTGGCTTTGTGCTCGTGGTGGCCAGTTGGCTTACGGAACTTGCTTATCAATACACTCTAAAAAGGGTTACATAAATAGCTGTTTGTGAGTAGCTGATAAATCACTCCGCAACGCCTGGAGGCAGCCAGGCCTCAGACAACTTCCCTAAACTGTTAAGGTTTGGGACCAGGAGAACCACCAACCCTCCTGGTCGTCCTCCAATGCCACCATCAGAAGGCTGGTGTCAGTGGATCACTTATGATCAATCCAGGCACCAGTGCCCAGTCCCTCCGTTCTAACATTGTTCCCTCTCTCTCAGCCATCATCGTATCAGCCCGAATGGCCCCTGAGGAGATCATCATGGACAGACCCTTCCTCTTCGTGGTTCGGCACAATCCCACAGGTGAGCCGGGTCGGGGAGGCTCCACTGCCCCCTACCCCTGTGTCTCCTCTCCTCAGATGCCAGTCCAGACAGGTGTAGACGCTGCCTCCTCCTCTGAGTCCATAACGATGCCCCTCCGCCTCCCTTCAGGGATGACGCTCTGTCACAAACAGAGCACTGTGCCAGGACACCGGCCCTAGCTTAGTCACTCCAGCAGCTGGGACTTCAGACAGCTCACTCGCATTCTCACATCTCAGCTCATCCATAAACATGGGGCTGGGTGAGCCAGGCCATTTCTCCCCGTCCTCATCTCCCATGATTCTTCCGTCCTCAGGAACAGTCCTCTTCATGGGCCAGGTGATGGAACCCTGACCACGGGGGAAAGCAGCCCTCATCTGGGATGGAACTGGAGATGTATCTGAGAAGAAAGAACTCTAAAGGAAGAAAACTTTTATTTTAATTAATTTTTCTGGAGAAAGAGAAGGCCTTTGCCTAAAAAAAAAAAAAAAAAAAAAAAAGGTAAATCTTTCAAATCTGCCTTCTAGACCTCGGCCTCTCCCAGAAATACAGAAGAGGACCTTTCAGTAAAACTCCCTCGTAGAGACCCCCAGAGAGACCTCCTAAGCCCCGCTGAGTCTCCAGAGCAGACTGTAAGATGTGCATGGGCACATGCGCAGCTGTTTCTGCCCATTGCTCTGCCCATCTGGGGCTTCGGACCTGGACTCCGCCGAGACCGTGGCAGGATGGCACCAAAAGGCTTTACAGGGGCTTTTGTGTGCTTGGTAGACACTATTTGTGTTCCAGTCACGTTGCTGTCACTCTTACATTGTCTGCCACTGCCAAGGAGGCTGGCGGCAGGCCAAAGAAGGCCAGTGGAAGAGACACCCTTTCATCTGGAGGCCTGTGCTCCCGGCTCAGCAGTCCTGCAGAGGGACAGAGCATGTGTGGAGACCCGCCCCGACCTGGCCACCTCCCCCCCAAGAAACAATGTGCAGATATTATTTTCGAGTGTAGGTGATTTGTTTACTCATAGAAGCAGGTTTCTGCTTCCCACAAGCTTTATTTTGCAGGAATGGGGTAGGGTGGGGAGTGAGATGTATGCCTGGCTCTTGGCCCTCGACTCCTGGGGGGGAGGGTGGGATGCCGGAGGGGTGTTTGAGTATTTATCACAGCGTTGTCCGTGTGTGCTTGTTAGAGAGAAAGAGGACTCTCAGGAAAAACGTGCTATCTGAACTTGCTCGTAGTGCTCCTCGGTGGTCTTCTTCATTGCATCTCAGGGGTCTGGACGCTTGACCCGCTACCCCTCTGGGCGGCTGGGGCGGTGGGGCCCACACTGCCACCTTGTGGCTGCCCGAGCCTTCTTTTTCTTGTCCTTCTCCACTTGAGGGCTGAGACCCCCGCAAGATGATCTAACTTCAGCCCACTTTAGGGACCAAAAGGATGTGGTGGATAAGAGAGATGAGAGCGAGGACAGAGTGATTTCAAAATTTTCCAATATATTTAGGAACAGAAGAACAAGGGGCTGCACGACCTAGAAGGACAGAACTTTCCCCAATTACAGGGTGATTCATAGCCGCATTGGTGACTCACTTCAACGTGTCATTTCCGGCTGCTGTGTGTGAGCAGTGGACACGTGAGAGAGGGGGAGAGAGAGAGACTGAGAGAGAGGAGCAGGAGAGAGAAGAAGAGAGACCATGAGCTTGGACTCATCGACCCCAGCTAGATAGTCTTTCTGAAAACCAATGAGCTGGGGGCATAGCCTGAAGACCGATTAATTGAAGAATTGCACATTGATGTCGAACAAATGAATGTGAGCCAGTAGGACCCTAATCATCCCACTGTGCTCTTCAGTGAAAAATCCTTGTTCTTTGTGTGTCTGTTTGTTTGTTTCTCATAATGCACTGGACAGTGACAGCTGCACACAGTACCCATAAGGATACCCCAGTTGGGGGTCCAACAGTCTTGAAACTGTATTGAAATATATGCTTTTTCACTTTTGATATATAAACAAGTAAAATATTTTTTAAAAATAATAAATAAATAAATAAATAAATAAAAATCATCCAAAAGAGTTCCTGCCTTTATTTCCAACATTTCACACAGTACAAAATCAAAATCCCATCAGCTCACAGCCCTTCTCCGGTTAAGGGGATCTTGATGAAACACATGCCCACAAGCCCAAGGCACGAAGACCTGCCACGGGCAAGTCCACAGGGTTGACCGCCAGGGCTGCACAAGACCAAGGGATGTAGTGTGCAGGGCATAACTCCCCCTAACCCCCCCGTGGGTGCCACCCTCAGAAAGGAAAGAGGGGTCCCCCAAACACCAGCCACCTGACACCTTCCCTGACAGGCCTGCTCATGCTCACTATCTCTGGGAGTTCCCACCTCTGTTCACGCCATCTCCTTCCCCGCCAAATGCCCCCACCCCTGTGCTTACCCCACTCCCCACTTCTCAAAACCCGGACAGAGTCTGTTTCCTTCACATGGCATGCCCCATGGGTCCAGTCCACACCATTCCTCTCTCCTTGGCATTTACCAAGATTTTGTCTTCCTGGTGTGTAACAGTGCTCCTATTCATGTATGCTCTTTAACTCTGAGTGTGCCTTACCCTCACCATCCCCATCTACAGATCACGTCCCTTTGAAAACAAGGCTCTTTTATTACACAGACTCTTAATATCCTCCTTAAAATGGCATCCTGAAAAGTCTTTTACTCTCTTCCTCTGGTCTCTTGTGGGCTCTTGCCAGACAACATATTTCCCCCGAGTAGCTTCTGTTCATATATTCAAAAAATAATCTTTTAAACTGAAAAAAATACCTAGAACTAGTTCTCGAAATTGTATGCTGTCCAGCCTCAGAACCCTAAAGATAGGATTGATAGATCCAGCCCCCTGGAAACCTAGGTCTTGTCTTAATAGGAACTAATTATCTTCTGGGGCCTCATGGTCAAAATGCTGCCAGACAGTTAACAGGCAGCGAATTCTCCATCACTAGAAGTGTTTAAGGACAGCTCAGTGGTGATGTTTCCGCAGTCAGGGTATACTTTTTAAATGTGTATTTTAATCTAAATTTAATTTATTTTTTAAAAATTTATTTATTTTGAGAGAGACAGAGACAGTGGGAGTGGGAGAGGGGCAGAGAAAGCAGGAGAAAGAAAGAGAATTTCAAGCAGGCTCTGCACTGCCAGCACAGAGCCTGATGCAGGGCTCAAACTCACAGATTGTGGGATCATGACCTGAGTTGAAACTGAGAATCAGACGCTTAACTGAACCAACCAGGCGCCCCTTGCAAGCATATTTAAAATATTCTTTACTTTCACACAGATAAGATCATCTCTCTCTCTCTCTCTCTCTCTCTCTCACACGCACACACCATACACACGCACACACACAATACTGTGGCTTGCTTCACATTCTACACACCTGTCCCTTGTTCTTTTTATCAGTTGCATATATAGATGTACTAGAATTCCTTTTATAGGATTTTAGTTGCTTCATGGCTTTTTAAATTGGCATTGTTGTCACCAAAATGCTGAGATGGACACCCCTGCACATTTATCCCGGTGCCCGTGTGCTCGTGTGTCCATAGGATAACTTTCTAGCAGTGGGACTAAGTATCTTTGAAGAACCTCGCAACTCTATGGTTGTGGGACCCTGGTAATGTGAACGTTTTCAAATGACACAAAACAGCCAAAAGTGATCATTCTGCCTGGTTAGAATCTTACCTTTTCTCAAGCTTAAATAAGCTCACTGCCATGGATAAAGATAGATTTGAGGCCTTGAACTATAAAGGAACCTTCATTTTATAATTTTCTCTAAATTGTGTTAGACTTCCTTGGAGCAATTTTAGATTATAAGTTCAGAAAGGGTATCCATTCATCTACTCACCCCTCAATCAGCCAACATTTGCTAAAGGTCTTCTCACTGCCTCTGCCATTCCTGTGTCCCTCTTGAGGGACAGTAAGGGACCTAGTTGGAAGCCTCCAACATGGGGTGCTATAATGTTCCGAGTGGATGTGGATGTCTGGCACCTTCTCTTTATGGATTCATCTCTTTGGATTCATCTTTTTTTCAGGCTCTCTTCCCCCATGAGGGTCTATATAGTAAGAGGGGCCCCAAAGCCCAATCAAACCTAGAAGGTAAGTCCTCCTCTCTCCTTAGAAAGGCAATGGATTAACTATACTGGAATTAAAATTTAAAATGTAATGGAAGGAAGGAAGGAAGGAAGGAAGGAAGGAAGGAAGGAAGGAAGGAAGGAAGGAAAAGAGGGAGGAAGGAAGGGAGGGAGGAAAAGAGGGAGGAAGGAAGGGAGGGAGGGAGGGAGGAAATGGGAACCAGAGCAAGACCCAGAGGAAAGGAGAGCAGAATGTACAGCCCACTAAAGCTATTCTAGGCTTTAGAGCAATGCTCTCAACCTCAGTGAGTGATTCCTCTTCCCTTTCCAATTCTCTGGCAACCCCTGTAGGACTAAGGTATGATCATTGGACTAGAGACAAAGGGCCATAGATGCAGCTTGGCCTGCTTCTACCTGGCTCAGACCAGAGCTACCCAGACTAAAAGTGACCTGGTCCAGTTCACAAGATCACTGAGATTTGTAGCCAAAACTTCAGGTGGCATTAAAGTATTCCTCTTCCTGCAAGAATACTTCCTTCCTCTCACATGGGTCTCCGTTTGGGCTTGTAGTGGGTAGCTGGGGTCGTGAAGGCAATGGTCCAAGAATTCAGGGGTACCGGGACCCAGATAGATCTTGTGTCCTTACATCCCACAAATATGATCAATTCCAGGCACTGGGCTGGCTGTTGAGGATTTACCCATCTGTAACAGATTTGCTTAGAAACTGCAAGAGCCTCGGGGCGCCTGGGTGGCTCAGTCAGTTAGGCATCCGACTTCAGCTCAGGTTATGATCTCCTGGTTCGTGGTTCCAGCCCCGCGTCGGACTCTGCTAACAGCTAGCTCAGAGCCTGGAGCCTGCTTCGGATTCTGTGTCTCCCTCTCTCTCTGACCCTCCCCTGCTCATGCTGTCTCTATCTCTCTCTCAAAAAATAAAGAAAATATTAAAAAAGAAAAAAAAAAAAAAAGAAACTGCAAGAGGCTCAAAAAGCAGAACAAGTTAGCCTGATTTGACAGTGGACAATTCAGAAACCATCCATACATGCTGAGAAGTCTCAGAAGAAAAGGGTTCATCAGAAGGCCTCACCCCCGCAGAGAGAGTTTGCTCCAGGAAGTGCCCCATTTAGCGGTGCCCTCTGCTTTTCTTGGATATTTTGAGGACAGAGATGACGACGCAGCCTCACAGTGGAAAGCCTGCCCAGCCCTGCTTGACTTCGCCCGGGCCCCCTCCTTACCCTCCCAAATCTCTCTTCCTCTATTTCTTTAGAAATGAAAAACCAAAAAGATCTGCTTCCAGCCATCATTACATTTCTCATAAGCCTCACGCAGGAGGATTATTTATCTGCCCACGTGTGGGCAAGGGGTATGACTCATTCTGTAAATCCCTCAATGGTAAAAAATATTCCATCAGAGTGAAACTTGTCAAGGAGGCACCATCTGTTTTCCAAGCCGCTTTCTTGGAGGTGGTTCCTCAAGCAAGTTTTGGGGTGAGACTAGCAAAACTACTTGTGTAGAGGTGAGGAAACTAAGGCACAGAGGGGTTGAGAAGCTGGCCACTGTCATTATTATTATTCCACAACAACCCCAGGCACCTCTGGGCTCTTAGGGATACTGTGCTGCCTCTCTCTGCCGCGTTCGTGAGCAAGGGTCTCATGTGCCAGTCACCAGCAGGTCCTGCGCTCACACCTCTGCCTTTCAGCCTGCACAACTGGCGTCCTATTGTCACATGGCCTTTTATTCCCTAGCCACCAGGTGTCGCTTTGACTCCAGTGGAAAGCTCTTCTTGAAGCAAAGCAGCTGTGGCTTCTGCCAACATCTTCCCAAGTTTGAACCCCATTCAATCAAACAACTATTTATTTAACAGCTTAACTTGCTACGGGGTGCTCTGAAGTACTTTTGCAAAGTGTAAGTGATCTTTCTTACTATCCAGTACCTAAGGAGAATAGACACCAAACAGCTTGAAATGCTATGTGAGTTGTTACAAAAAAGGGCTGGAGGGAACACTGTCAAAATGATCACTATAGCCTACACTAGAGCGTGAGGCTCACGTACAAGATAGAGAAGACGGATTTGGGTCTGTGGGGCAGGAATGGAAAGGCATTTCAGAAAACAGTGTGCACAAAATAACAAAGGAAAAATAATAGCAAGGCATGTTCAAGGGACATACCTGAGGAGGAAGTCCCAAGTCACCTTGAGACTGTTGCCTTCCTCCTCTGATAACCCAACCCGTCAACTCTCCCCCTCTCCTGATCTAGTCAGGCAAGTCTGGACTATGTCCCTTGAATAAGCCAGGCTTTCTTGTTATCCTTCATGTCCCAGGCGTAGAGTCTGCAAGCCTAGGAAAAGGCAGTGACACTGACCATGGTGGGAAACCGAAAGATGGGATGGTTTCAAGGGAGGTGAAGGTTTTAGCAAGTGAAGTTTGAGATGACACTGGGATTTTCAAATGAGGGCTCCAGTAGACACTTATTCAACCAATGTTGGGTACCTGTTGCCATATGTCAGGCACTGTGCTGGACACAGGAGAAGCAGTGAAAGAAGACAGTTCATCCTCTGGCAGAAGTAATACACATTGAATATGCCACCACTATATGCAAAATTAGAGTTTAGAATATTTTGGACTAGAAGATTTAAATGTCTAGACTTGATAACCATGGATACCGATCATAATTGAAGGTGATCAGCACTATGTTTGATGCTGTGAAGAAACAGAAGATGAATAAGATACCATCCCTGAACGGAGCACCTGGGGGGTCAGTCGGTTAACCATCTGACTCTTGATTTTGTCTCAGGTCATGATCTCACAGTTCATAGGTTTGAACCCCACATCGGGCTCCGTACTGACAACATAGAGCCTGCTTGGGATTCTCTCTCCCTCCTCCCTCTCTCTGGCCCTCCCCTGCCCATGCTCTTTCTCTCTCTCAAAATAAATAAATAAATAAATAAATAAATAAATACATGTAAAAAAGATACCATCCCTGAAAGAGCTTCCAATCCAGCTGAAGAGACAAGGCCAAGTCACATGTCCAGTCAACGGACAACACGGTATGCCTACCAAATGTACCAGTCAAGGTTGTTAATTACCAGGGGTAGAAACCAACTCTAGCTAAGGGAAGCACCAATGGAAACTGGGGAGCTCAGGGAATCGTCAGAAGGGCCAGAGAACCAGAGGGAGGTCTCGCACTAGAGGCAGTGCCCCAAATCACACACTGGTGCCCCTGCCCTCACCTTCACTGGGCTCGGCTGTACTGGTACCCTAGGTTTTGGCCCTCTGCCCCTCTGCCACAGTCTTATTTCCCCTCCATCACCTCATTCCTTCCTGGACCAAAGTCCTGACAGATGCACAGACTGGCCAAGTACAGCAGACATGTCAATTCTGTAGGCACAAAGAAGGCTGCAAAAGTGAACATCAAGAAACTTCTCTCTCTTTTTTTAAATGTTTATTTATTTATTTTTGAGAGAGAGAGAGTATAAGCAGGGTAGAGGCAGAGAGAGACAGGGAGAAACAGAATCCCAAGCAGGTCACAGGCTCTGAGCTGTAAGCACAGAGCCTGATGTGGGGCTTGAACTCATGAACCATGAGATCATGACCTGAGCTGAAGTTGGACACTTGACTGAGCCACCCAGGTGCCCCAGGAACCTTCTAATGTTTCACTGGGAGATTGTTCTCTCTCCCCCTAGACTCATAAGGTGGGATTCCCAAACCCTAGGAAGTGGGACTAGAGCTTGGGAAGTGAAAAAGAATGGCACACATCTACCACAGAAGGTATTCTAATTGTCTGAACGTTTGGAACAGCACATGGTAAGGTGCTGATTGCTCAGTTAACAAAGGAGGACGAGGAGGAGGAGAAGGCAAAAAAACAAAAATGACTGCAAATAACATCGTCAGGGAACTATGTACCACTTAAAGAATATACAAAAAATGGGTGCACAGGGCATCACAAGAGGGAGAAACACAGAGCATAAACTCAGAGAGAGGAAAAGGCTTCAGGCCACCTCACCAACCACCACTACAACCAGATGAGGGAAGGCTCAGGGAGGTGTCAACATGGTTTGTATGGTGACAATACAAACGACATCTGCACCTGTGAAAGTGAACCTCCCCTCTAATCCTCCAGGCTTATCTTTGACTCTTCCTCCTTCTCCTTTACTTAGATGAGTTATCAACGGCAGTTGACTGGCCCATTACAAGCACCTCTCCAATCTGTAACTCTCCATTTCATCTTTGTGCCTGGATTCCCAAAGATGATCTTCCAGGCTTCCATTTATTCTTCCAAGTTGTCCCCCGGATGATTATAAGATGAACTCTCCTAAAAGTGCCCTCACCAAGTTGTCCACCAGCTCAGGTAACCATAATGACTCCCAGCTGCCCATGGCCTCAAATCTGAACTCCTCTGCAGACACAAGCCACACTGGGTCCACTAACTCATAGATTCACTACATTCACCATTTGCTAACAGTGAAGAAATCCAGTCTGCTGTCTTCAAAGTGATGTAAACCACTTGAAGTCTAGGACTCTACATGAGCAAAACCCATATTTCTAACAATTCTCTCACGAATCTTCTCTTGTCTGCAGCGAGGCAATGCCACACTGAGACACAGAATTCTAGAAAGTATCAGCTTTCCAAGGAGTGTAGGAGTTCACATCTCTAGAGCTTCCAAATTTCCACGGGCTGTTGCTCAGCTATCTGCTTTACATCTTTGCCTCATGGCTCATTACTTCCTTATCTACAACCTTCTCCTCTTCCCACCAGGAGCACATTTCTTTCATTCCTTTTGGCTTCTGCCCTTCTTACACATTCCCTTTCATTCTCTGCACTCCCTAATGATTTACCCTTCCTACCTCCAACAGCTTGCTTTATTGATCTTATTCTTGACCTAAAAAAAATAATACCAAGATATTTCAGCCAACATGTATGTCATTGGCAAGCTGAAGGCAGAGGAGGAAGGGGAGTGAAAAAAAGGAAGAAGACAAAGGAGTAGAACAAAAAAGTGGAGAGTGGGAGGAAATAATCAGAGCCACCATGAACAGGTGTTGACAGTATGCCAGATACTCTCTACACATCCTCAAAGCCATCTTGCAAGACAGGTATGGCCATCCTCCGTTTTCAAATGAGGAAACTTGGCTTAAAGGACTCACCTGCCATCGCACATCCAGTAAGAGTCAGAGACCAGACTATATGCCAGGTGCATCAGGCCCCCTATCTTGCAACAATAGCATATTCCTTCCATACCCAAGAGTAAGAAAAAAAGAACATAAAATGGACACAGGCGAGGCCTTCCCAACAATTGTTTCAAGTGCTACCCAAAATAAAAAACGTTATTTTCCACTTGACAAAATTTTAGATTTTTCTCCTCTCCTGATGTCCGAACTGTTTTAAGTGTTTTCAGTGACCGCGAAGGAACACACACACACATCGACGGCCCAAAAGTGCATATCCCAATCCACAGCCTCCTCATTTTTAAACTTATGTCTAGGTTACAGGTTTCCCTCTTCAGTTTCGACCCATGCTCACCTTGTAAGATCCACTACGTTTATTCCCCTCTCGCTTTCATTCATTCCCCTCTCCCTTTTCTTCACATCACTTAAATATCAGCACCTTCTTTTCTCTCTTATTTCTCGTCTCATTACCTATACATTTCTCATTTTAAGAGAGTGCTACATCTTGCAGGTTCTCAGTCCACATCGATTTTGGGCTCCATACTTATCTCATGTCAGCGCCACCACCGCACTTTGTCTAGCCTTCCCCAGGTCATCGCTCCTATCCCAAATCCAGTTCCCACCCTGCCCCGTCTCCACCGCCCCAGCCCCTCCATTCGTCCTCCCCGCTTCCTCACAAACTCCAACGGTCGCCCCTTCCATCTCTCACCCCCTTTCCCGCCTTTTTCCCCCTCAAGGTGCAGAAGCGCGAGGACCTCATTGTCCTCCTCCCCCCATCCTCCAACCAGCCTACCAGACAGCCTTGTTACCATGACGACAGAGCTACTCAAAACCGAAGACAAGGACCTGGTTGCCATGGCTTCCGCTTCTCCGCCTCCAACCCCGCCTGCGCGCCCAACAGCGCTAGCGCCTGCGCAGTACGCGACTCGAAGGGCCTCCGAGCCGGGCGGGACGGGGCGGGGCTTCAAGCGAGAGGGAGGAAAGGAGGCGAAAGGATAAGAAAGGGAGTGGAGCTGGCGTGTACGGTGGCCGAAGAGGGACGCGCGGAGCCGGAGGCTGCAGGATGGTAGGCTGTGTGGAGAGGGAGGGGAGGGGAAACCGAGGGGCGTGGGTTGCACCTGCGGGGGTCCTTGGGGGCCGCCTTCCGTGGGGGCCGCCCTCTCTTCCTCCGGTCCTCACAGGCCCCACTTACCTGGGCGGGTGGGCGAGCCGGCCTCGGAAGGAAGAGCAGCTGGAAATGGCTTTAGGGAGAAGGGGCGGGGAGGGGCGCATTTGTGGGGCGAGAGGGGGCTAACTAGGGGTCGGCGGGACCGTCCCGAGCCGGGGGGACGGCGCGGGTGGCGGTCCAAGGGGTCCCGACCGCTGCTGCAGGGAAGTCGCCTGAGGAAGAGGGGCGCTCGGCCCTGCTGGCGGAGGGAGGCGGCGGGGTTGGCGGGGCACCAAGACCCTCTGTTCCCATGCAGCCCAGAGGAGCGGCGGCTCGCGGGGAGTGCCGTGTGTGGGAGGGGAGAGTTTCCGGGTCCGAGGAGTGGACGTCCTGCCTCGGTTTATCTCCCTGCTCGCCTACAGGCTGGGGTGAGGTGGGAAAGCCAAGTGGGCTCGAGGTCTTGCTCTCCAGAACCCAAGCTTCGAATCCCTGGGTCCCGTGTTCTTGGCTCTCCACCCCCCCATCCCATAGTCTTTCCGGAGCCCAGGCCTTCCGTCTTCCTGCGGGCTTCCCGCTCCCCTGCCTTCCAATCTCAGACGCGTAGGGCTCCCTTGCGCCCCTCTGTTGCCCTCCCACCACGCTAGCAGCGTTTTCCCTTCCCCGCCACCAAAACCCCTAAAGAGTGTTGTTTCAAACACCCACGGATTCCAGCCCTGGTAATGCCCAGGGAGAGGAGCACTGCAGGGACAAGGCGATAACTCCAAGGTATATAGACTGGACCCCCTGGAACTGGGAAGCTGGGGGTGCACAGGGTAGTGAGGGATCTGCCCTCCTCCCCGCTCAACTCAGCATGCACTTTGTTGCACAAAGCTCCAGGAACCCCCCTGGATGGCGGTGTCCTAACTGAGGAACTGAAAGGGAAATTGTCACCTGGTGTCTGGAGGGGTGTAGGAGGCATCCTCCCTAAAAGGAAAAAAAGGGAGGACTGTCAAATGCCTGGTTGGCTGAGGAGAGAGGAGGGTGGAATTTGGGGGCCCCATGCCCCTGGGCATATGACTGGCATTTGAAGGCAGCGCACTGGGGACATCGGCAAGAACGTATGGCCAGGATGGGGTAGAGAACTGAGGTAGCTTCTCGAGAGACAAAATACCCCATTTCAGTGTGGTGGTGGATAGAGGGACCATGAAAGAAAGCAGACCCCTCTTTGACTTCAGCTATGGGCTGCTTGTCGCCTTACTAGGCATTTTGCTGACCTCTGGAAGACAGATATAGGAAACAGAAGGTGAAGGGAAAAAAACAACAACAACTAACCCCTAATATGCTACAGTGCTTACCATGTGATAGGCACAGTTGCATATATCAGCTCATTTAATCCCTCTAAACAGGAAGGTACTTTGATCACATCCATCTTACAGACCAGGAAACTGAGGCCCAGAGACATGAAATAATTGCCCAAGGCAAATGACTCACCTAGTAGAGCCCGGATTTGAACCCAAATGGCAGACTCAGAAGCGCTGACATGTTCCAGAAGGAAGGGCACCTGCTGGTGGGAATACCGAGAGCTGAGGGCAAGGGCTGATTTTCAAAGCGGGCAGGAGACATGAATAGGGAAGAGTTAGATGCGTGTGTGGGATGCATGTGTGGCTGTGTTTATGGAGTAAACACACTCAGAACCGAATCTCTGACCCTCAGCTCTGCCTCCTCCCCGTAGATGCGATTCATGCTGCTGTTTAGCCGGCAGGGGAAACTGCGGCTGCAAAAATGGTACCTGGCCACATCGGACAAGGAGCGAAAGAAAATGGTTCGGGAGCTCATGCAGGTCGTTCTGGCTCGTAAGCCCAAGATGTGCAGCTTCCTGGAGTGGAGGGATCTTAAAGTCGTCTATAAGAGGTGACTCACCACCAACTCTCAGACTGGTCTGGACCTTTCTTGATTGGGGCCCGGCAGTGGGTTCAAATGGCTGAGAAATAAGGCGCCCCTTTGGGTCAGGGAGGATTGGGAGGTAAGGGCATCTGGAGGACAAGGATGAATTTCAGCCTCCTTTACTTTCCGAACTTCCCTTGAAGGCATTCTTGTTCCCCACTTGCATTGCTCAAGCCTGACGCCTACTTCACCTCTGTCGCAAAGGCCCTCTTCTCCATTGCACGTGTCCCTTGCAGCCTCATTCAGCACTCCTAGATCCTGCACCACCTTTCCACCACACACACCTCCTGTCCAGGTCCTTCTCTGAGCAGGTGGATTAGTTGGCTCAAGTTTTTGCTGAATCAAACTGAACAGGTCAGAGGGCAAGAGGGAAAGCGTGTGTGTGCCTGTCTTTGCCTGTGTTTGTGAGAACTGCCATGAGGCCAAGTGAGTTGCTATTTGCATACCCTGGGGCCACCCTGCCTATGTCCAATAAAGACACAGACCCCGAGCTGGGAATGAGGAGAAATAGGAGGTTTGAGAACAGAAAGCCTGGCCCAGCAGGCCCTCCAGCTACCCCGCCTGTGCCCCTGTCCACAGATATGCCAGCCTCTACTTCTGCTGCGCCATCGAGGGCCAAGACAATGAGCTCATCACGCTGGAGCTGATCCACCGATATGTGGAGCTCCTGGACAAATACTTCGGCAGTGTAAGTGCCCCTACCCACCCTTTCCCCACCCAGCAGTCTTCTTTTCCTACCAAACCCTGGGACCCTTCCAGGCTCTGCCTAGAAGATTTGGGCAAGGTGAAATTGGAGCAGTGAGAACAGTAATTAATTTCCCTTTTTAAGCCTTAAGCCTATTAGCCATATCCCTTAATCGGCCCAGGGAGGGGGTGTGGATCAGAATCTGCCACTTAATCAAGTGGAGCTCAGCTCAGACCTCTCCCATAAGGACAGGAGGCCAAGTTCAGATTTTATCAGTGGCTCCTGACCTTGACTTTGCATTGGAATTTCCTGGAGAGGTTTAGTTGTTGTTGTTGTTGTTGTTGTTGTTTTAATTAGTGATGTCTGGGTCCCACACCCAGCAATTCTGAATTAACTGATCTGGGGAATAGCCTGGGCATTGACAGTCAGCTCAGATCTTAGTAGGGGAATAGTAATAACTCCATAGTTTGTATTCCACTTAACAGTTTACAAAGGGCTTTCAGGCTCCCATGTTTGCTTCTTATTCTATCCTGCGAGTAGATATTGTCATCTCCATTTTCAGAAGAGAAAATTGAGGCTCAGAGAAATGAAATGACATGTCCATCTAGCTGCCTAGGTGCAGAGCCCTGCTTGGAACTCAAGTCTTTCCACCCATGATTCAGCATCTCCTCCTTTTCTGCCCCATAGTGGCTAGGGAGGGAGACTAGCCAGGCCCCTGGTGGGAACAGTGTCACAGATTTTGAGGGGAAGGCAGCAAGGAACCACAATCAAGAAGGAAGAGTCAAATGAACAGTAAGGCTTAGGTGTTGGGGAGGTCATCGACCTGGGGCAAGAGCCCGAGATAGGCGATGTGGTCCTGAAGAGACGACCGTGGAGCCATCATGAGAAAAGAAGTGGGCAGGATGCCTGGGTGGCTCAGTCAGTTAAACACCTGACTCTTGTTTTCATCTTAGGTCTCTCGATTGTGAGATCAAGCCCCACATGGGGCTCATCACTGAGCATGGAGCCTGCTTGAGATTCTCTCCTTCTCTCTCTGCCTCAAATAAACATTTAAAAAAGAAAAAAAAAAAAAGAAAAGAAGTGGGCAGCCAGCGTGCAAGTGGGGTGGGAATGCACCTTGGCACCCAAACCTGCCTTCTCCCCCTCCTCCCAGGTGTGCGAGCTGGACATCATCTTCAACTTTGAGAAGGCCTACTTCATCTTGGATGAGTTTCTGATGGGGGGTGATGTCCAGGACACCTCCAAGAAGAGTGTGCTGAAGGCCATTGAGCAGGCAGACCTGCTGCAAGAGGTACGGGCCTGGGACAGTGAGGAGGAAGATGAGTACCATGGCAGAGGGTGCCCTCCCTGCCGTGGATACATGGCCTGCCAGCCACGGCTTCCCCCTTCCTGCCACCAAGGGGGCCCCCCTCCCTGTGGCATCTGGCCTCCACAGTGCCCCGTTGGCCAGCTCACCCTCAAGCACTGACTGCTTGGGGTGGCCCACCGGGGCCCACTCTCCCTCCTTCTCCCGAGACCCAAGGTGTCTCATCCCAGCTAAATGTCCCATGTCCCATACTCCTCTAGGCATTTATGGTTGCGCAGGGAATTGGAGAAGGGGCACATGATTCTTCCTTCCCCTGTTGTCTTCTCCTTCCCCCATTTTTTTTTAACACACACACACGTACACACACACACACACACACACACACACACTCAAAAACCTCTGCTCCTCAGAAGCAAAGGGTGGTGGGGACTCGGGGGTTGGGGTAGAGGGCGCCTGGCTGGGGGTTCTCCTGCTCTCTGATGCCCCCGCCCTCACCCCATCACTGCCTGCCCCCTCTCTGCTGTGCCACTGCTGAGACTTGGTGCAGGGAGATGAGTCACCGGAATCTGCAATGACAAGCAAGCTGGCCTGAGCTGGCTCTGAGGAGGGGGAGAGATGGGGGCTTATCTCTGCAGTAGAAGAAGAAGCAGAATCGAACTTGCCACCTCACTGTTCTGATTTCCCCTTCTCTCTCTCTCTCTCTCTCTCTCTCTCACACACACACACACACACACATACACACACACACACACACACATGCCCTGGCACACACCCACCCACCCCTGTTACTAGTGCTGTGCTCAGACCCTAATGACTCATTTCTCTGCAGTCTGGTTCACCTTCCCTCAGGGACCTGATGCCAACTTATTACTCCCCGCCCCCACTCTGAATAAAAGAACCCAGCCTGCTGGCACCCCCAGCCTTCAGAAAGCAGGTTCCCCCCCCTGTCCCCGTCCCAACTTCACACCCTTCCCCCTCTGATACTGAGACCCCGCCCCCTGCTCACCAAGCTTCTGGGTGGGGATTTTCTGGGTGGTGGTGGACTCAACCAGGACCTCCTTCCTTGCCATGGTTGGCCTCCAGGGGGTGGTCCCTGGAGACTGGGGAGCTCCCCCAAAGGGTCCCCAGTTGTTCCAGCCTTGAGCTCATGTTGATGTCTCTCTCCCCTCCCCATGTCTCTCTGTGCATCCCCCACTCGTGGTGTTGTCTTGCACCCATTATCCTCTGCCTCATTCCCCATCCGCCTCTCCCGGTGTCTCTGCGTCACCCTCTGTCCGTCCCTGCCTTAGGAGGATGAGTCGCCTCGCAGTGTGCTGGAGGAGATGGGTCTGGCATAGCCCTCGCCCGGGCCGCGTGGAGATGTGGGGAGCTGGTGGAGAGGCAGGGCACAGGCGCCTCCTTTTCTTGATGGGACCCAGCTGCTCCTCTTCTGCTGCCTCACCTTCTTTTGGAGTGAGCTGTGGGCTCAGGACCCTCAAATGTTCCCTCCCTCCACCTCTATCTCCTGTTTCCCCTTTCTCCAATGAAGGTTTTAGGAGCTAGGAGGTAGGCAAATGTGACCAAAATGGGGGTGCTATTTGGCTTTCATTCCCTGCCTTTGAAGAACTAATGTTACCCCAGACTTGCTCCCTTCCCTTAAAACTGTAAATATATAAATATGTCAGGTTAAAGGGAAAAGGTTTTCAGGGTTCTTCTCTGCTCCCTGCCCCATAACCTACCTCCACCCTGCCCCATAGCCAGCCAGGGCAGCCTCTGCCAGGGGCAGGGGCGGGGGGTTCTGTGGATTTGAGAGGGAAGTCCTTTCCCCTCATCTGCCCTCCTCCTCCCTCCTCCTTGGCTGCAGTGGGACTCTGTCCAGTGCCAGGGGAGGGACAACATGGTTAATTTTTTTCTAACCTTGCCACTTTGAGGGAAGTGAGCTTTGAGGGAAGGGCAGGCTTTATGGGAAACTGTCCCTCCTTCACTCCGTGTTCTGGGTGAGGCAGGAGCTAAGGGGTGGGGTGTGGGAAGTGGCTGACTTTATTTCCTTTCCTCTGAAATAAAAGGAAAAGCATTTCTGGACTTTGACTGCTTAGGCTCTGTGAAAGAAGGAAAAGCTCCTGGGATCAGTCAGGAGGGGACGGGAACACTGCCTCTTCACCTCCCCAGGACTAGGATTGTCAGAGTTAGAGAGTGAGAGCTGGTGGGGGGGGGGGAGGGGGGGAGAATAGAGGACACGCAGTTCAACTTAAGCGATAATATTTTTAGTATATGTGTCCAATGCAAACACACCCGCTGTTTATTCAAAATGAAATTTTAACCGGGTGTCCTGTACTTTATCTGGTGCCCCTATTCCAAATGGGTTTGTAAGCTCAATGCCTCTCATCTGAACATGGTATCTCCAGCTCTGGAGCTGCCTTCAGCCAGGGAGGAGCAATGCCTGGGCATACGGTTTCACACCTCTGAGGTTTCTTTGTGCAAGATTTCATTCAGCTGGTTTAGTTAGGCTTTTTTTTTTTTTTAAGTTTTTAAGTTTATTTATTTTGAGAGAGAGCGCTGGAGCAAGGGGCAGAGAGGAGGGCAGGGAGAGAGAATCCCAAACAGGCTAAGTGCTGTCAGCGCAGAGCCCGACTAGGGGCTCCATCTCACCATCCATGAGATCATGACCTGAGCCAAAGTCCAGAGTCAGACACTTAACCGACTGAGTCAGCCAGGCTCCCCTCAGCTGGTTTAGTTTTATTTGGAGAGAGGAATCGGGAGTTCATCGGTGTATCCAACCCTGTGTGCTTTGCAAAGGGTTGAGAAGTGGCTAAAAGCAAGGTGTTTCTATAGCTGGAAGCTGTTCCTCCCAGTTTGTTGTGAAGGGAATTTAGGGGACAGTTAAGGGAGGTGACTAGGTGGAACAGGGACTGTGGGGAGCTGCCAGTACTGCCCAAGTGGCCAGAGGATCATGGAGAGAAGAGCCTTCAAAGTGGCCTGGAGCTGGGGCACCTGGGTGGCTCAGTTGGTTGTGTCCAACTTCAGCTGAGGTCTAGATGTCAAGGTCCACGAGTTGGAGCCCGGCATCCTAGCATTGGGCTCTATACTGACAGCTGAGAGCCTGGAGCCTGCTTCAGACTCTATGTCTCCCTCTCTCTGCCCCTCCCCAGCTCATGCTCTGTCTGTCTCTCAAGGGTGAATAAACATTAAAAATTAAAAAAAAAAAAAGTGGCCTGGAGCTGCCTCACCCTGGGGATCAATGACTTTAACCTCCACCGCCACCCCCAAGCTGGAAGTGGAACTTGGGCTTTCTTGATAGATGTGGACCATATTCTACTCTTTTTTTAAAAAAAAATTTTAAATGTTTTATTTATTTCTGAGAGACAGAGACAGCGTGAGCAGGGGAGGGTCAGAGAGAGACACACACAGAATCTGAAGCAGGCTTAGGCTCTGAGCTAGCCGTCAACACAGAGCCCCTCAACACAGAGCCCCGTCGCGGGGCTCGAACCCACTAGCCTGTGAGATCATGACCTGAGGCGAAGTCAGACGCCCAACCACTGGGCCACCCAGGTGCCCCTACCATATTCTACTCTTGAATATGGTTGAAAGTGGTTCCACTACCCTCACTGTTGAACAGGGTGTTGTGGCTGGCGCTTCCCTCACCGCCCCTTGGCAAGGACCACGAAGGCCCAAGGGGACGGGTGAATAACGGATAACAAAGTCCTAATAAAATAGTCACTTTTATTTCTTAGCAAAACTATTTCCTCCGTGAGGGGTATTTACAACAGAGAAGGGAAAGAATAGGTAAATTCACAGCGAACTGGAGAGGGTGGAGTGGCTCCTGGGAGACCCAAAGGGCAGGAGACAGACACTTCTTCACACAATTAACTGGAATAGCTTTTTCCGGTTTTGGACGGGGACTTCCCGAGAGGGACTAGTGGGGACAGAGGCCCGTGGGGGTAGGGGAATTCGCACAAACCACCCAATCGCCTGGGGTGGCCCCGGGAGCTCCCTTGAATGAACTTGGGGAGTTCGGGCTTCGAATCCCGGAAGCGGTCTGACAGGTCCTGGCGCAGCCCGGGGGCGGGGCGACCGGGGGGTAGGGACGGGGCCGGGCGGCGGCCAGGGGCGAGGCTGGGGTGCATGCAAACACCTAGAAAGGGAGAGGAGCAACACGGAGGGGGGTGGCAGCGCGCGCGGCTCCGGCGCGCGGGGGCGGAACCGGAGCAGGTCAAGGGCGCCGGAGCAGCACGTGCTCGATGTAATTCTCCAGCTCCTCCTGCTCCTGCATCCGGCGCTCCTCCGCCTCCGCCTCCTCCTGCGCGCGCCGCGCCTGGGCCTCCCGGCCGGGATAGTGATGCGAAGGCTGCAGGGCGTGGTGGTAGTGGCGGCGGCGCGAAGCAGCGGATGGCTGCAGTGTCCGCGGCCGGATGTAGTTGGGAAAAGGGTGGTAGGACCCCGGGGGAAACAACTCGTCCTCCTCGCGATCCCAGGGCGGGAGCACCTCATTCCAGTCGGGCAGCTCCTCTCGGGCGGGGACGGGGGCGGGAGGCTGGGGCTGCGGGGAACGGACGTGGGTGGGGGCGGGGGCAGCCCGGGGGTGCGGCATGGGCTCGGGAGGGGCGTTCTTCTTCCGCTTCCGCTTCTCCTCCACCTCTTCAATGATGCTGACCACGTCGTCCGCTGGCAGGTGGAGTTTGGTGGACAGCTCAATGAGGCTGTCGATCGTCTGAGGGTCCATCTCTTCGTCGTCGTCCTCCTCCTCCCCGCCCTCCTCTGCCCCATCAGCTTCCTTCCGACGGTGGCCGGGCAACTCTTCCTGGGAACGCTTGTCCTCGGCTCCGGCTTCTCCGTCCTCCTCCTCTGCGAACAGCAGCGCGTTCTGCCGCGCCCTCTCCGCCTCCTCCGCCTCTGCCTCCGCCTCCGCCGCCTCCTCATCCTCTTCCCCCACCCTCTCCGCCCCGCCGCGTCTCTCCTGCTCCGCCTCCACATCCTCCCTCACGCTCTCTCGCTCCTCCTCCTTCTCCTGTAGCCCCCGACCCCCAAAGCCCCGTTGCCGAGCCCCGCCCTGCAGCAAATATTGGAGCAGCAGGTCCGAGGCGAGGTCTGCCAGCCGCTCTTCCTGCGCCGCGGCCTGCCGTGTGGCCTCTGCCTGCCGCCGCCCGGCCTCTACCTGCGCCAGCCCTTGCTGTAGAAGGCGCTCCCCTGCCTCAGAGCCGCCCAGGAGTGAGCTCTCCGGACGGCGCGCCTTGGGGAAAGGGGCGCCCAGGCTTTGGTACGCCTTGGATAGGGGTGCCAATGCCTCACCTAGATGTGTTTTGGGGGAAGACACCCCTTCTCCGAACTGGTGGGCTTCAGGAAGGGGCCCGCTCTCGGGCATACGCGCCTGAAATTGCGGGGGAGCGGGGGGTGGTAGGGGCGCGCGCTCCGGGACGCGCGCTTGGAACTCTCCCCAGGAAGCGCGCCACACGCGCTCTGGCCCGGGGCTCTCCAGGTTGACTCGGGTCAGAGTGTGCGTGCGAGTTTCCGTTTCTGCTGCCGCTGTCTCTTGCTGGCGCTTGGCGCTGCTCGGACTGAAATCTCGCAGTTCCTGAAGCAGAGAAGCTAGCGCCTCGAGCTCCTCGGAGGGGTCTCCAGCCTCGGGACCATTCTCCTGAGTCTGAGGGCCAGGCGGGGCCGCAGGTGCCTGGGTCTCCGGCGCCGGCAGGCTGTGGGTCTGGCTGCGCACGGTCTCGGTCAGCAGAGCTTCTGCTGCTTCTTCCTTTGGCCCCTGCTGGGAACCCCCGGGCGCCGGGGGCGAGCCCGGGCGGTCAAGTGCCTGCAGCAGCACCGCGGCCAGCGCCCGGGGATCCACGCCCTGGAAAAGCTCTCCCTCGTCCTGCGGCTCAGAATTTCGAGCGGCTCGGACCTCTGGGGCGCTAACATCGTTCGGCCCCAGCGCTGCGTCCCCAGCTACCGGCTCTTTATGTTCAGAGCTGAGGGGAGGTGGCTGCGCCTCAGGGTGCCCCGGGGGCGCTGCTCCCAACCCCTTGATCAGTAGAAGGAAGCAGACAAGGGTGGAAGCCAGCAACCTGAGCGATTTCATGACCAAAGGACTGCCGGAGACTGTGAAAAATAAAAAGGACCAAAGAAAGAGAGGGTTTCTGTAAGAATTTTCCGCTCTCTGATTCTATATCCCCTTCCCCCACCTTTAATCAGGAAAGCCAGGGCTTCCCTCATCCCCTTAACCTTACCCAGAAGAGGGACGTTTAGTAGCAAAAGAGGAAGATGTGCCGATCTCTGGAGTCGTGTAAATGGGAAAATGCCCGAAACCCTCGCTCCCCCAATGCCTCTTCGCCCCCTTGCCTAAGCCATCTCACTGCCAGCGCCCACGTACTAAGCAGCTAAGATAAGGGGGGAAAATCTCTGCTCCCTCCCCACAGGACTGCCCGGATGGTGCGTGGGCGACTTCAGCAGCAAGAGAAAAACGGCGACTCCCCCATTTACCAGGGACCCTTCTCCCCGCTGTGTTTTTAACACCCCCATCCGGGATGAGAGAGAAACCCTCCCTCACGCCCACGGCTGCCGAGGGTTTGAGGGATGGACAGCGGAGTATTTACCAGCTGGTGTCACGATGCGGGAGGTGGAGAGAAGGGTCGGGGCGGGGTGGGGACAGGGAAAGATCGGGACGCGTCCGCCTCGGTTCCGAGCAGTAGCTGGGATAGGAGTGACGGTCGAGTTCTGGCGTCCAGTGGGTTGGGCTCAGCTGGGTCCGCGCGGCTCTGGGCGACTCGCTCGCTCCGGCTTCAGCACGCTGGACAGCGCCCGCGCCGCTGCCGCCTTATAAAGGGGAGAGCGCAGGGTCACGTGGGCTAGCCCCGCCCCATTGACGTCAATGTTCATTCATGGGGAAGCGGGCGGGTGCCTCGAAGCGAGGGGCTGCCCAGTGATTGGAGAATGTGGTCGTCTCCCGGCCAGCGCCTGCGCACTGGGAGGCTCGGCTCGAGGGGCGTGCGATAGCCTTGCACCGGGGAAATGAATGAATGAATGAATGAATGAAATCGCTGAGGCGGGCGGGGCAGGGGGCTATGAATGAATGAAGGAGGGACGAGGAGAAAAGGATGAATGAA